GGGGGGGGGGGGGGGGGGGGGAGGCACTTTAAATAGAGAGGCTCTGAGAGCTGCTGTAATTAAAGCACCCAGAGTGTCTTGTGTATCAGTGTCCCCATGCTTAAAAATGGCGCTGCAGGTGCTTTAATGAAAGCTCATTGAACGAGCTTTAGTTAAAGTGCTCCCGTTGCCATTTTTAAGCTCAGGGACACTGATACACGAGATGCTGGAGTGCAGTAATTACGATGCTCCAGCAGACTTTATTAATAGAGTCTGCTCTGATGCACTTTAATTACAGCGTGTCGAAGCAGCCTTGCTGCTTGTGTATAGGCACCCAAAATGTTGGTTTGACTTGACACTCGGATTCACTATTCCAGATATGCCCTTTTGAAAGCTATCTTCGGTGTGACAGGAGGTTAGATGAGTCGAACAATGATGACTAAATAACCTACAAACTACAGGATCCTTTTGCTAATGCATCAAAAACACTGCAAGACTAGAAGCATTTTTTTGGATTAAGCCTCTAATTCTAGGAATGTCTAGGATGTGAATTTTGCAGCTTCAAGTTCCTTTGCTTAGGTAGGATGTATACCAGTTGTTCTGAAAACACAGCTAATTTAAGCATTTGTCAAATTGCAGGAAAAACAATACCTTCAGTTTGAAAACGTTCACTTAATTGGGTACAGTCTTGGTGCCCATGTTGCTGGCTATGTTGGTAACTATGCAGCTGGGACAATAGGCAGAATTACAGGTAAGACTATGCTAGAACCGCTGTTGGCACTTGGGCATCTCATCAAATATCAGTACCCTGCAGAGAGATCCCCTTCTGGGTTAATTCATCTAAAGTTAAAATGATTAAAGAATCCTACTCGTGATAATTTTTTGTATCCATCTCCAATCAGATTTACATTTTGGATACCAAACTGACATTGGGTCTCTCCCCCTTCTGCAAAATATTATTGCTGTGGGATTCTTTTAATATTAGTCACAAGACTTTCTCTTGAAATGGAAAAATCTGCTTTCACAAACTCCTATAGGACCCAATATGTGTTGGCTAAACTGGCCTATTCTCATACCCTTGTTATCGAAATCTTACATTTCTATTTGGTAGAGATGCCTACTCTATAGTCCCCATATATAAGCTAACTTGGCTGTGACAGTAACTTGTTTCCCATTTGGCTCACATCAGTTATTAAACTGTACCCTTCATTTTTGACACCTACTCTGTCCCCTGCAACCTACTTGCTAGCAGAGTTCCACTAGTTTTGCAGGTCAGTATCCTACTAAAACTCATCTCTCCATATGAGAGGATTTGGATCTTCCAGCCTTGCAAGGATTGTTTAGAAACATGGTGGGGAGGGTTGTTTTCAGAAGAGTACATTGCCTACACTACAACCATGTGCCTTCCTTATCTGTTTAGGAAGGGATAAGAAATTCTAGCGATAAAACCAGTACATGTAATAGGGGAAAGCGGATAATGCTACAGTTTGGATAAACCAACGTGTAACACTGGGAAGCACTAGAAACTTATCATCAAATGCAGTGATCTCCAAAAGTCAATTCTTCTATTTGGGGACATAAGGGCCAAATGGGAACAGGTAGTGTGGATTTGGTTTCAAAATTTTGGATGGTCCAGATAGCCCCGGTTTTCACTTATCTTTAGTTACTAGTCTTAAAGAACCAGCTAGCTATTTTTTCTCTGGTCCTCCTACCAAGGATCTGTAACCTATAGCCTGCAGGCTAGATCTGACCTGTGATGAGGTCTAATCCAGCCCAGAATGGTCCATTCCAACACAAGGTATCAGGGGCACAGAGCTGCACCATGCTGAGCATCTCCCCTGTAGTGCTCCCCTCAGCTGCAGAGCCTACTGCTCACCACATCTGCACTTCCCTTGCTACAGAGGAATTGGGAATCTGCCGTGAGAGTGAGTGCAGGCAGCTGGCTGCTGGGGGGAGGGAAGGGAGGTGGATTTTGGCTTACAGCCACAGCTGGATCGCAAGCTGCGGCCCACAGCAGCGAAAGGCTACTGACCCCTGCTCAATACCGTAAGGAAACTTCCTAGTGTTTAAGGTACTAGCATGTCTTTACTTTTTAGTTATGCTGGATCCTTGAGACTAACTGACTTTCCCTTCCCCTACCATTCTTTCTTCCCAACTGCTTGCTGAACTTGTACGAGGCAGAGGAGACGGTTTAAGTACTGACTTCTTCTCCTCTCCTTTCTGATACCACCGAGTTTGTTGTGAAGTTAGGTCTCTTATGCCTGCACATGTTCATCTGGACTGACTTTTCTTTACTAAAAAAAAAAAAAAGAGGCTTCCTCTGCAACTAGGGCCCAGTCTCTGAGGAGTACTGCTCAAAACAAACTCCCACTAAGTCCCCTTTACATTTATGCTCCAAGGGTGGTTAATTAGAGTCATACCAAACCACCTCATCTCAGTCTTTCAGAGAACAATTGGCTAAATGTGAACAGCTGGTTCTTTTTCTTATAAAGGGGCCTGTCCTGGAGTGCCCAACACTGACCCCTTTAATGTCAATGGCCAATGTGACTTGGTCTCTGAGCACTGAAATGTCTAACTCGCTACACTTGAAATCATTTATTTGTTGCAGTATTTAAAAGCACAGCGGATTTGTGAAGATATGTCCATAAATAACTAGGGCAGACCTGAAGTATTAATGCATTCCAGTATTTGTACTATTCATCCCAAGATCCCTTGGCTAATTATTCTTCCACTTAATTCTGATGATGGATTTTATGAAAGTCTAGAGGTATGCTTTCTGGGATAGGAACTGGTTGCATCACCGTCGTTAGGACAGTCTCGCAGACCTTTTGGCTGTTGCCAGTGTTATACATAACAAAGTGTTTATCTGGTGTCTCTTGTGTTCTCCTTAACACGCTAGGCTTGGATCCAGCTGGCCCTATGTTTGAAGGAGTTGAACCTCACAGACGCCTCTCCCCTGATGATGCAGACTTTGTGGATGTCCTTCATACATATACGAGAGAAACGCTGGGCGTCAGCATTGGGATCCAGATGCCTGTGGGTCACGTTGATATCTACCCCAATGGGGGCGATTTCCAGCCTGGTTGTGGATTAAGTGATGCTCTGGGAGCAATCGCGTATGGGAGTAAGTTCTGACAAACACTCTTTAGTTAGAGCAACCTCTACTCCTCAAGCTGACTTGCAAAGGGGGTTCCTCATCTGCTCAAAGGCAGAGGATAGTATAACAACAAAGCTGCTGCCTAATAGGGGGTTCATTTCAATGCCTCTTTGCCTCCAAGAGATGAGGCTAGAGTATTTTCCAGTAAATTTAGTATAAAACTTCATGAGCTCAGACCAATTTCTACTCCAGGACATTAATCAATGCCATATTTTGCTGGCTCTGAAAACTTCTTCTCTGCCTCTACAGCAAAATGATTTTTAAAGTGACAGACTGTTTTGTCCAAATGTCTTGTATTACTGTCTTGAACTATGCTTATTTGAAAAATATAGCTGTTTTCTGGCCAAAATAATTTAATTTTAAATAGGAAATGGCCTGGCTCACTGAAGTATCTGTTGGGGTGGCAAATGGCTGAACTGTGCCTTTCAACCACAACCTTCTCCTTTTTATTTAGATATTGGTGATGTTGTGAAATGTGAACATGAACGATCTGTGCACCTCTTTGTGGACTCTCTTGTGAACCAAGATAAGCGGAGCTTTGCTTTTCAGTGCACAAATTCCAGCCGTTTCAAGAAGGGAATCTGTCTGAGCTGCCGAAAGAACCGCTGCAACAGCATTGGCTACAACGCTAAGAAAATGAGGAATAAAAGGAACAGCAAGATGTACTTAAAAACCAGAGCTGACATGCCTTTCAGAGGTACCTATCTAATGGGATTAACTTGGAAGACGGTGCTGATATGTGGGGATGACCGTCTTCCTCTAAGTGTTAATATTCTGACACTGACAGTTTGGCAGAAATGAAAGTACTGGGGGGCACATCTGCGTCGATTAAAATATCCAGGTCCAGTATTCACTTCAAGGTTGTGAGGCAGCACCTCTTTGTGTTATGGAAGAAAATGACCATTCCTCCCTTTACACTAAAATAAGGGTAGCCCTGACTCTGTATCTGAGCAACACTTTCTAATGGGAGCATTCTAGACACAAAATGGTGTGGGGGTATTTTAATACAAGATTCAAGAAGCCCTCTAAGCTAAATGATGGAGTCCTGGAGTTTCATCTTTGGCTAAGTAAGTCACTAATTTGAGCCAAGATGCTTTTTCCACCTATCAATGCTATTTTGATATGGAAAAGATTAAGTGTCTGGCAACTAGTATGTTAGTAATGGAATAGATAGATACCTCTGTTTGCAAATGTGGTTGTAAAGTATATTTCTCTCTTTCTTTCTCTCTCGCTCTAGTTTACCATTATCAGATGAAAATGCATGTTTTCAGCTATAAAAACTTAGGAGAAACTGAGCCTACCTTCTTGGTTACCCTTCACGGCACGAACGGAGACTCTCAACCCCTCTCTCTGGAAATGTAAGTGAAGAGCAATTTACTCCCTTCCCTATTCTGACCCACAAGAACAAATTCCTCTTCTGGAATTACACATCTTTGCTTTAGAAGAAGCAAGTGTCCAGCAAATGTGTCTTGGTTCAGGGTGTCAAACTTGCCTTGGGGCTCCCTGTAGGCCAGATCCAGCTTGGGGCACTGGGGAGCAGCAGTGGTGGCAGTAGCAGCAAGAGGTCTGGAGGGGAGGGTCTGGTGGTGGCAGCAGGTTTGAAGAAAGGGTTCCAGGTGGCAGCAGCAATCTTAGATCACTGCCAACAGACATGGCCAGTGGGGCCTTGAATTCGGTGGCAGGTCACACCCAACTTCTGATGGCTTGCCAGTAGCCTAGCAGGCCAGATAGAGCAGCTGCATGGATTTGGCCTGGCTTGCAACCCACATCTGACACCCATTTTTCATCACCTAAGGCAGGGGAGAGCCTGAGGTGTGGTGCCTCATAGCAACATTGCTAAACCAGAGATCCGAGTTCACTTTCTTTACTCACACCAGGAACTAACAAGAGCCTGGAGTTAAGCAGCTCTGTGGAATGCCTGATGCACTGTAAAGCTCTTCATTTTCAACACATTTGTCTAATACAGCTTCTTCTTGTTAGTCTCAATGAGGAAACAAGGCTGAGTTCTCCGCCTGTCTTTCAGACTTGACCAAATTGGCCTGAATTTCACAAACACTTTCCTGGTTTATACTGAAGAAGATATTGGTGACCTCTTAAAGATCAAGCTTACTTGGGAAGGGTCATCTCAGTCCTGGTACAGTCTGTGGAAACAGTTCAAGAGTTACTGGTCCCAACCTGAGAATTCCTCCAAGGAGCTGCACATCAGACGTATACGTGTGAAGTCTGGGGAAACTCAACAGAAGTAAGTAGAAAGATATTCTTTTATAGTGTGTTCATGCCCTGGAGTGGGTTTGAGTCCTCATTCAAAGGGATATTTAAGATGTATTGAGGACACCAAGAAAAAGTCTCTAAACGTTGACCAACTGGGGAACTCCAGTTGTACAGGCAGTGAATATGTCCATTGACACTAGTATAGTTTAATGGTTGATATGGTGACACTGCTGGGTGGAAGAACAGCAGTTTCACTGAAAGCCTAAATTTAAAAGAATATTGCTTGGTTCTGTTCGGTGTAGCTTGTTTCTTGTTAACAAAAGTGTTGCTATCGTCTCCCCTTTCACTAACATGAGTGGGGATGGGGCAGAGGGCCATTAAAGCATCAAATGTTCCTCTGTTGAAAGAAGGCCAAAAACAAATACACCATAGTTTGGCAAAAATCATGGCAATTTTTGTAGTGTTTGCAGAGGTTTAATGAGTTAATACACTGGGTTAACTAACAGCTTGACACCCAGCTTTGGAATGCAAGTAATGGTAGCACTAAACATACTGGTCATTCAAGCAACAGGGGACTACGGATTAGTTGAGATTCATATAAGAGTCCTTAAAGAGCAAATGCACTCCAGTAACCCTCAACTTGTAAAGATGCTGAGCACACATGACCACACTCCCCATCATGCCGTTACATTGCTGATTTTAATTTTATTCTGTCCATACAAGAAACCCAGACCTATTGTGTGCAATTCACAGTTTAAAATGCAGTTTACAAAATGTTTGTACAACCTGCCCAGACACTTCAAAGCCCTCTGCACCAGAGCAATATCTTAGTGCTTATGAAGAATTTTAATTGTTTTGGCACTGTTCTCTGAGATCTGCCTATCAAGGTCTTTGTCTTTAATTACCCCCACTATTTAAAAGCTAAAGCACTGCACAAGATTATCTTGAATGTCCTTCAGTAGCAGGTGGAAGACGGTCATATTTCCACTGCAGGAGGAATGCTGCAGTAGCATTCTTCATGTGGAAGTGACTCCGATTTCAGCACAGGCTGTCATTTTGACATCAACCCCAAGGTGGTATTGGTGCTAATGGTGATACTAGTTAGATGCCAAGGTGGAGGAGGAACTCCTTCCTTACCCCCAATCTGAGGTCACTCTTGTTAGACTTGACATGGTTTGTTCTTTCAGAAAGCTGAGATTCTATATGAGTCTTTCATAATTACTTTCCAAAAAATATATATAAGGAACCTGCATTATATATAGATAACCTCTGTTCATGGCTTCTGGTTCTTCCTTCCAGGCTTGCTTTCTGTGCTGAGGACCTTCATCAGACAGACATCTCTCCTGGCAAAGAGCTCTGGTTTGTGAAATGTAGAGATGGATGGCAAACAAAAAATAGCCCAAGGTAGGGTAGAGACCAACTGTTCAAAAGCCTACTGTCTGGTGCCTCTGACTGAACAGTTGTTTTGTTTTTTTTGGGTTTTTTTGTTTTTGTTTTTTTGCTCAGTCCTTTATTATGTGGTATTATCCCATATTTCTCAAGGTTATAGGAATGTCCACCATGAACACTTCTGCAGTTAACACAAGATTCCTAAAACACTGAAGATATGTTTTAAAAACATAATTGGCCTGTTTAGACATGTATACAGCAATTTACAAAGTATATTGTAAACTTACATCTATAGATTGCAGATCTACAGCAATCTGCAAAGTAGAGTAATAGGATTTTAAAGCTAGAAGATACAATATGATCTTCTAACCTGGCCTCTTCTAACCAAGCCACCCTCTTCCTCACCCTACCCTCCTTTCTTCCCCTCCCTCACATACATCTAGTACTCCTAATTCTAGTGCACCCTTTCAATCTACTAGGGCTGGTGCCCAAAATATGACACTCATTCAGTCTGGTGTCAAGTAACAAGGATCTTTGGTCACTTGGCTGCTTTTCAAAGAAGCTCCAGTAGAGACTTAGGCCTAGCATCTATTCAATTTGCTCTTAAAGTCCAGACTGGTAGAGCAGAGCTTGTTTGATACCAAACTGTGTGCAGTGTTTAAAACTTCAGAGCTTTGCCACAAAGCTCTGTGGAAAAGCTTGCTTGCACAGTCGCTGTCAGATGAGTGGCAACATTTTCTTTCAAATGAGCCATGATTTGATATCAAATGCCAAGCTTAGTAAAATTGTAAAATAGTAGGACAATTTATGGTTTCACAGATAAATTCTAGGAAAAGGCCAACTGCTTTCCCATGAAAACTTTTATATTGGAACATACAGTGGTAGAAAGAAATACAGTACCTATAGCTATCCCAGCAGGTAGAGTGGAGGCTGTGGTAATGTCCACAGATAATTAGCTGGTAAATTTGATTCTTCCCAAGGGTGAAGGATCATACTTGGAAATTGTTTTGGGGGCTGGAATATATCACTCTCCATGTGAAATAAGTTTACTCCATAAACAAACACGTAAGAACCAGGCCCTTGATAGGTACTTCTGTGCGGCAAACGGCATTTTGCAGTTCCGTGGGGCAGGAACTACCATGTTGCCATATCTGGAGAGCCTTCTGCTTACAAATCTATTAATCCATTCCTGAATGCAACAGACTGCGCAGACTCAAATCCAGGGATTCAGACTTTCATGAGAGCCATCTGTAAATGTAAGTGCATATTACACTTGGTATAAACTCGGGTTTCTACAACAGTTTCCAATTGTCGGAACACTATTAGACACTTTCCAAGCAGGATCAAATGCTAAACTGCTCCTAGTCTCTGGTTTGTCCACAATATGTCCAGATCTGTCCTACTAACCCTTTTCCCCAAACGCAGAAGATCAAAAATGCTCCAGCTCCTCAGTTCACTAGGTATTTCTGCTCCTTTCCTTAGGTCAGCCTTGAATCTGCTCTGAAGGCTTCTCTGCAGACTTGCACGTAAGGACTAAACATGAAATCAAAATGCATAGAGAAGGCTACGGTAGTGAAAAGACGACGCACTCCTGCACAGTCTGTCTCAGCAGCACTTAAGAAAACTCACTATGGAGGACAGCATGTCTCGGAGCTGATGCAAGCAGTGGAGGAGTGATCCTGATGGATTCAGTTGCTGTCCTAGAGTAACTTATTAAAATGACTAAACTCTCCCTCCTTAAGGGAGTCTGGTTAATGTGCATGAACCTGATGATGCATATATTTCTTGATCTGTGTTTATGCTCTGCATCACCACTCCCCCCCACACTTTGGCTTCCATTAACTGGAAGTGTGGACAAATTCGAGACAAATCTGTGCCTTGACAACAGCAATATGCCTTGGAGGTTGAAGAGAGAAATTTACTAAACATCAAAACAGTTGAGACTAAGCTATTGAAAACGTGTCACTGTGTCTATAGCATAGGAGGTACTATGTGGTCTAAAATTGCACTAAACTGTGTGGAAGAATGGAAGGTCTAAATCTGTTTGTTTTGTTTGTCTGTTTTTTAGGGTTGTTTTGTTTTTTTTTAAACTAAGCACAATGTGTTTTCTTCTATAAACTCCATCTTCTCTCCATGCTGTTCAACACTTTTCCCATGAACCAGTTACTGTAGGTCTGCCTGATATTGTTACAAACGCATTGTATGGTGAAGAGGCCAATATTTCACCACTGTTTTAAGAAGCAAAAGCAAATCCAAATAAGCAGTGATGTGGTTGACAGCTGTTCCTAAGATGGTTGTTCTACTGAATATAATTATCTAAATCAGGACTGTCCAGAACTTATTCACTATTGGCCTGAAAGATTTAGATGACAACTACCCATCTATTTATTGTATAATAGGAAGGCAATTGATTGAACCATATCAAACAAACTCTGCAGCTTTCAGCAATAGTATTCAGAGGATACAATTGACTCTGGGAAGAATGGAGTTGTAATGCAGCTGTTGTATCAGCACACATACTTATTTTTGCATGTGTAACAATATTTGCCTGCAGAAATCATTTTCAAGCTCTTTTTAATCAGTGACTCCAAATCAATCTGGCTCCATTTCAGCAAGAAGCTACTGATCTGAGTGTCAGATTCTCACCCAGCTATTTGATTCGCTATAGCACTTTGTGCTGAATCATAGGTGTAGTTACAGGCAGGGTGAAGGGTGGGTTTTTAATGTATTTAGGATTATGCTTTGCTTTGGTTTTAACATGCACAGCCTTTAGCATAATGCCGATGCTGCCTGATCCACTAAATTCTGAAGGCCTTCATCAACCAGGTCATTTTAAAGGGCCAACAACTGTTTTTAATGATGCCGTGCCAACCAAAGTGAAATCATCATATGCATTTGGAGAATAATGTGATTGGTCTTGGTTATGTACAATCATCAATAATTAAAGACTTTGGTAACTGTGATTGGTCACCATAACATATTTATACAGTGGTCTCAAGGCCCTATTTGTATATTGTATTTTTTATATGGACTTGGAATGTTATTTATTTCTTGAATGTATATATGTTAAAAAAACCAAAACCTTTGAACTTTGCATTTTGAGTAAGAGTTTTATAAACCTTAAACAGAAAAATAAAGGTATCTTGTAGAAACTGAGCAGAGCCATTTATGAGCTAGACTACCTTGGAACGTGACCATCTGGTCTTAGTTTTCATTTGCCCAAAACAATGCATCTTCCACTAGTGCAGTGTGGGTCAAGTACCTTTGCTTCTGAAGTTATTGGCTTCAGCA